TAAAAAAGAAAAGATATAATGCAAGTGAGAAAAGAATGGGAAAATATATTCAAAGTGTTAAGTGAAAAACAATTTCAAACAAAAATACTATTACCCAGCAAGATTATCTTTCATATGGGAAAAAAAGATAGAAACATTCTCAGATAAACAAAACTGGAAGAAGTTACCAACACCAGACCAGCTCTTAAAGAAGTGCTTAAGGGAGTACTAGACCAGGAAAGCTAAAGTTGGACACACAGAAATAAGAGTATAAGAAACAACCCAGAGAATGGGTATCCTAATGGTAAGGGCAAGTCTGGAGTTGAATGTTAACTTCCAGAGTTTAAATGGAAAGATCAGACCACAGTAATACTGCAAATTCAATAGAAGAGAGATTAATTACATGAGACAGAACTGGTGAAATAGAATTTTTTGACTTTAGACTAAAATGCTAATGATTTTCTTTTATGCTTTGATTTCCAGATTTAAGGATTTTTGTCTTCTCTTGAACTGTTGAATGGTTCATCTACCTACTATTTAAACTGAATCCTAACCTTGTTCCTGGGTTTAAGTCTTAAGCAAATTTCTCTTAATATTTTTTTATTTTGATTGATTAAAACTAAAACTATTTTCCTTGAAATAAAAAAATGCATTTAAAAAATTCCTATTTAATAACTGCAATAAGCTATATAGCCCCAGCTAGGTGCTACTTTATAGTACATTCACTTTATTCACTGAGGTTTATGCCTAAAGTCAGACATGTGTTCATAGATATGTATATAACAGCTGTACTTGGTACTGAAAGTTTTCAAATTAATTAAGATCTTTAGTGAATCAGTAACTGTGGGGAAAAAAAAAAGAGGCATGGAAAACAACTATAGATATCAGAAACTGTGGGAGGAGGGTGGGAGATGGCAGAGGGTGAGAGGTAGAAAATCAAGGAGGGAAAAAAAAGGCAAAATATATAAGAAACAAGAAATGGAAAATTATTGGTTGACAATAACATGTATGGTAATATCCTTGACTGAGCCAAATACAGTGTATTCTGGATGGAAAATCTTATATTGTATACTGTATTGATGTACAGTGAATAAATGTAAATACATTAAAATAAATTTTAAAAAGAATGCTTTGTGGTTTCTATAAAATGTATTTCTTTTTTTTTAAAGAATTATTTTTCTTTAACTTTATTTATTTATTTTAATTTGACCAGAGAGGGACAGAGAGAGAGAGAGAGAGCTGGGTCTGGGACTTGACCCCTGGTCAGCCAGCATCCTTAACCACCATGCCACCTGCCGGCCCCACCTATAAAATGTATTTCTAGGGGCCGGCAGGTGGCATGGTGGTTAAGGGTGCTGGACTCCCATATGGTCAACCGCAGTTCAAGTCCTGGACCTGGACCTGCCAGCTTGCTTTCTCACTTTCTCTCTCTCTCTCACTCACACTCTGTCCCTCTCTGGTGAAATTAAAATAAGTAAATAAAGTTAAATAAAATAATTCTTTAAAAAAATTTAAAGTTTTTTAAAAGTGTATTTCTAAAAACATATTCAATGATCATATCACCATCATTCTATAATACTTAATTACATATTCTTAATAATAATAACACTTTTGTTCTTCAGTAATGGCTAATTAGCATAGGATCTGACTATTCAGAGTAAACTCCAGGTGAACATTTTAAACAGAAATTTAAAATATGCTTGCCAGTGCCAGAACATACTACTCTCAGCTCACAGCCACTAAACCCTCCTGAGCATGAGTCCCTTAAGAGAACTACAGGCCATCTACAAAGACAAAAAAAATTGGTATCATTCACAGAAATTTTAAAACACTTGTTTTTGTATTCCTCCTAGCTTTTCCTTATTCAGAAGAAACAGTTTTTAAACAAGATATTTCCTTGGAAAGTACATGATAAGATTTCAGATGGACATAAATTATAATTTGTGCATTTAGTCCAATATGTACCTAATGTTGACTTTTTACAGCCCTTAAGCTAACAGACAGGTTTAAAAGCTATAAATCATTAATCAAATTGAGAAGATAATTCCTATAAACAGGACCACATTTCAATAATCTTTACAAGTAATATGTTACCTGAGTAGGAGGTTGAATATGGTGGATACACTGAAATAAGTGAATTCCTTGAGCAGAAACAAGTGAAGGATGTAGAGAATGTTGAAATTGACTTGTGGCAATTAGTGCAACCAAACTTCCCATGGAAATAAACTCCTTTATCATATCGCTCAAAGCTGGAATTAAGCAATATAGTGTAAAAGCTCAGGAAAATAAACATGCATTTTTAAATTAAACATTCATTCAAAATAATAACATGGCAGTGGTACAGGTGGTAGGGTGCCACTGCACAATGCTAGAGCCACATGGGAAGGCCTAGGGTTTGAATCCTGGGTTGATCTGAACACATCAGCTACACCCACGAATGTACCATGATACTGGGGGCTGAAAGGATAGGGGGAGGACTGCTGCATGACAAGACCCTGTCAGGTAAGTCTCTCTCTCTCTCTCTCCCCATCCCTCTCAAGAAATAAATAAACATAAGAAAAAATGATAACCTGGTGGTCAGCAGATGGCATGGTGGTTAAGGTGCTAGACTCTCACATGGCTGACCTCAGTTCAAGTCCTGGACTTGGCAGCTTGAGAATTATGCTGGGCACTTACGCATGCATGCCCCAAACTCCCAGGTGTAGAAGGGACTGCAACACGGCCATCCCCCTCGGGGGATGGTTTCTAATTTCCCTTCTGCCTGTGTGTATCTCTTTCTGGTGAGTGCACATGCCCTATGGCAAGAACCCAAAAAAAAAAAAAAAAAAAAAAGATAACCTAATGTTGGGCTTTAGGGTAAGTATGTATGATGTATCTCCTTCATGCCTTTAAAAAAATTCATTCATCCATTCATCATTAATTTATCTATTGAGAACCTCATGTGGACCAGGCTTTAATCAATCTAATAAAAGCATGGAAGATACTATACGCTCAGAACAACATTCAGGGAGGATCTTACAAACAGATGAATAATAAAAACATCATCTCTGAAATAAATAATGTACAAGGGTAATCAATTTCCATGTTGTATTCCGTTTATGAAAACAAAACAAAACAAAACAAAACACAAACACAGCTCATATACCTGTAACTTCTTGAAAAATCTCTTTCCACTCCAGGTCTTACAAGATTTGGTATGGTAAGGTCAGAAATGAAACAGGCATTATAATGTATATCTGAATTTTGACCTAGAATTTTGCAGTACTCCTTTAAACAGTAGAATTAATAGACCTAGTGTTTAAGATTTAGTAGAGACCAGTAGCAGATCTAGTGGATGCTACAGAATTCAAAATTTGATATTAATGCTAGTCAATAATGACCCAAGCCACGCTGTTTACATATGTATCTATTCTAGCTCTCAAGAACCTGAAGGCAGCTCAATGATGCCAAACTCTCCTGTCTCACCTCCCTAACTGTCCTCTCCTTACACTCTGAGCTCTAATCAACTCTTCCCCAGAGCACCATGATTTCTTGACTGCAGACCACACTTTCATTACTTCTTCATTAGCATGATAATGCCTCATACTAACTTCTACTCCTCTACCAAAATGTCGTTCAGTTATCAGCTCCTGAAAACCCCTTCCCTGATAACTCTTCACCTTACCCTACCCCAGCTTAGGTTATATACTCCTCTAGTACCCTGTCTATACTGACAGGATAGTATATGCTACCGCCTCCTAGCTGATCACCCTAACCAAATTATATACTTAATCTCTGAATTCCCATTTACTAACCTGTTAAACTAGACTATCTACATATAGAATATAAACCAATCCCTAGGTCAAAAAGGGCACTCAATAGATGGTAGCCATGATTAATTACTGTTATGACTCTGTGTTAAAATTGTTTTCTTGGGGGACCAGTAATGGCTATGTCACTGGACTCCCACATAGTTGATCACAGTTCAAGTCCTGGACCCAGTGGCTTAAACTCACACTGGGCATGTGTGCGTGCGTGCCCAAGATCCTGAGCAGAGAATGGAGAAGAAGGGATTGCAGTGTGACCATTCCCCTGGGGGGTGATTTCTCACTTTCTTTCTCTCTGTCTCTGTCTTTCAGGTGAGTGCACAAGCCCTATAGCAAAAACCTCTCAAAAAAAAAAAAAAAAAGAAAAGAAAAGAAAATTGTTTTCTTTCCTTTCCTAGACTTTGAGAACACAGACTGTACACATGCACTTAGCAAATATTTATCAAATGAACAAAGCAAGAGTGAATCTATAAACAGTTTCTAATAAATAAGGGAGAATGAAAAGGCCCCCAAAACTCTACCAACTTTGCTAGTACAGGGTAACTCTATAATGCTACTAGAGACCTCAAAAGCAAGACCTCACATAGCATATCTACTATTCTGGAGAGAAAGATCTACCGTTTACACTAAAAATGCTGACTGAAAGAAAAAGGTCTCAAGTCAGCAGTGGCTGAATTACCATGTGCGAGTCGCTGGCTCTGCACCGCGTCAGGGCTGTGCTCATGCTCCGGGCCAGCAGGTAGCCCTGTGATGAGATCCAGGTCATCCAGCAGAACAACAGAGGGCTGCCTCCATGCCGCCTCCGAGAAGGCTGCCTCGAGGGCTTTCTGTACATTTTCAAGCCTTTTTCCTTAATCCAGAAGATATAAAATGGTTTAAGTGTTATTTCAGGGCTGGCAAAGTTCAGGCTGACCTTTTAAAAGGCATTAGAAAACTTAATGTTGCTATAACTATGAACATTTGATCCATATTTTATTAATATTCCAATTACAGAAACTTGTTAATCATGACCATGGTTCAATTAAGACAAAGGACTCAGTAAAGTACCACATTTTATAAAACTAGGAAAAGCAATACGCTGCTATAATTTCGGTATGTATGTATTGATTTATACTCGGTCCCATCCCTTAGAGAATTTCAGGTGGCATACAACATAATAGTGAAACAAACACAGGACTGGGAAAACATAAATGACAGTAAGGGCTCAAAACTCAGGTAAAATCGAACACAAACGTAGCTGCCTACAGATCCCAGAGTTGCTGTACATTGTAGCTGAATCACAAATCTGGCTTCAAACTTCCCACTGAGTTTTCATTTTCAAAGAACAGAAGACATACGAAATCATAAGATAACGTAGAGACTTCCTGTTACTTTGTGCTACATGAAACATTTCATGTCCGAATTCAAGAAGCACTTTAAGAAACAGAGTGTCTCTGAAGCCACCATTATAGCAAATGAAGCAATGGGTTTTCAGAGGCTATTTCTTAGTTTCTTTTCATACACTAGGAAAAATAAAAATAAAACAAAATTGTGTACAATGACTAGATGGGACTATATAACAGTGGCAGCCAGGGAGGAAAAAATGAACTGTACAAAGTAAAATCTTCCCATTTTTTTACTGGAGAGGTAATAATGGAAATGGTAAAGATTTTCAAAGCACAAAAGCGTTACATGGTAAACTGTCATTCTCCTCACTGTAATCCCAGAAGTAACCACTCTACCGGTTTCCCGAAACCATTCAGAAACCACTGACACCCATGGGTACATTCTGAATGCTTGCTCGCAGTGGTGAAGTTAGCATTCCCAGGAATATAGTCTGTAAAGGGTTTTGGCTAGAAATAAATAGGCTTCCACCAAATATGTAGAGCCTTAGAAATGTTTTATCAAAAATAGGAGAACCAGGGAACCAGCAGTTAGCATAATGGCTATGTCGCTGGACTCCCACGTAGTCGACTGCGGTTCGTGTCCCGGACCCGGTGGCTTAAAACTCACGCCGGGCGCGTGTGCGTGCGTGCCCAAGATCCCGAGAGGAGATTGGAGGAGAAGGGATTGCGGCGTGACCATCCCCCCTGGGGGGTGATTTCTCGCTTTCTTTCTCTATGTCTCTCTCTGTCTGTCTGGTGAGCGCATGCGCCCTACAGTGAAAATCTCTCCAAAAAAAAAAAAAAAAAAAAGGACAATCATGGGACCACCAGTTAGC